AGGCAGCTAGTCATCACCACCCACCGCCAACTCTTGGGCTACTCTTTTACCAACGAATAGTGGGATTGACCGTCACATTATAACGCCCCCACGGTTGAAAGGGCGAGCATGTTTGGTGGGATGCGGATTCGAACCCGCGACCCTTAGATTGTGAGTCGAGCGCCTTATCCACCTGGCCATTCTCCTGTATATGATGGTGTCTAACGATTAGAAAACAAAGCATTAAAAACCGGCGATATAAATTTTAGAACTAGGATTTCTTCCATCTCTTACATTGATTGGGATTAATCTTTAATTAATTGTCAAATCAGTTTAATTATCATTCGTGCTCACAGTAAACTTTCTCTGGAATTCAACTCTGTTCTTAATTGTTACTTTTACCCGATACTTTGGGTCGAAACATTGTAATAATTAAAATTACAACTTGCCAGCTGTAAAAGTTGCCGTTATCATATTTGAGAACTAAAATGAATTATATTTGTTTGTCACAAATATTTCAAACCTACGAGTCGGGGAAATAAAACTTATTTCACATTTAAGTTCGTTGAAGATATAAACCTTACCATGTCGATGAGCTGCTGCAGAGTAAGTCCAAAACTGAGTATCAATGGATCTGACTCGTTAGCCACCGGCCTTTCCAGGACGTTATAATCTCGCATTAAGTGGTTTATCAGTTTTCGTTCGTAAGATCCTTGTAACGAATCTAGAAAAAAAAATAATAACACGAGGTCTGAAACTGGAGATTTGTACGTTATCCTTTCATAATTTCAAACATTTTACTCTTCTGAAACCAAGTGTATACTTTCTACTAGCTTTTGTAAAACTTTTGTGTCTATCACTTTCGTCTGTAGTTAAGCACAAAATTACTTAATTAATAACTGTCTGTGTTGTGCTCACTGCAGCGATCGAGCCCTAAATTTGAGCGTTGTGAGTTCTCAAACTTAGCGGACGGGGCGTAGCGACAATGATTTTTTTCAAGATAAATATATGTTAATGTTTACAGACTGTTGTCTGTGGTCGCAGTAAAACTGAAAAAGAAAAACAACCATGAGTTACAGAGATAAGCTTACAGCACAAAATCACAATATTTCAGCCACATAGCTCAGTCAAACAACCATGAGTTACAGAGATAAGCTTACAGCACAAAATCACAATATTTCAGCCACATAGCTCAGTCAAACAACCATGTGTTATACAGATAAGCTTACAGCACAAAATCACAATATTTCAGCCACATAGCTCAGTCAAACAACCATGTGTTACAGTGTTAAGCCTACAGCACAAAAGTACAATACTTCAGCCATATAGTTCAGACAAACAACCATGTGTTACAGTGTTAAACCTACAGCACAAAATCACAATATTTCAGCCACATAGCTCAGTCAAACAACCATGTGTTACAGTGTTAAGCCTACAGCACAAAATCCCAATACATCAGCCACATAGTTCAGACAAACAACCATGTGTTACAGTGTTAAGCCTACAGCACAAAAGTACAATACTTCAGCCATATAGTTCAGACAAACAACCATGTGTTACAGTGTTAAGCCTACAGCACAAAAGTACAATACTTCAGCCATATAGTTCAGACAAACAACCATGTGTTACAGTGTTAAGCCTGTAGCACAAAAGTACAATACAACACTGTAACACATGGTTGTTTGTCTGAACTATATGGCTGAAAAGCCTACAGCACAAAAGTACAATACATCAACCACATAAAGTTTCTATGATTTAGTTTTATACCACTTGAAATGTTAAATTAGGAAATAAATTATCAATAGTTAACAATTGTTAACAATAGTTAACTTAACAATTACTCCATTTTATGTAGTAAAAATATTATAATTCGGAAAAAGCCAGCTTCCTCTATCTCATTCGTTATTTGTGAAAGACAAAAAAATATTGTGTGGTGCATGAGGTCTTTTATTTTATATTTTAGATCTATAAGGATAGAAACTAAATGAAAACGTATAGAGAAAATTATTGGTTGTTATGGGCGTGGCTCTGCATTTCAGGAAGATGACTGTCAGAGATTGTGATGTAATGCTGAAGAAAGTTACTTTAAAAGAAAATGAAAACGTTTGTACTTGATAAACATGTTTTAGCATACTTACAATGAGAATGTTAAGAAGATGGACGAGACAGTAGGATAAGTTTTCATTTTGAAAGAAAGATTCGAAACTTATATAAGTAACAAAATGCTTGATCTTTCGTTGAGAAAATAGTTACATTCGATATATCGATAGGAATTTATTGCTTACAGATTATTTTAAGTCGGCAGACTCAGTAAATGCTCGTAGTTAGGACACCAGTCATGGGTTATATTTATCATTAAGGCCTTGCTGTTACTTGTCTTTTCTTTACGTAATATTTTTTTAGCGTCAGAAATAATGTCAAAAGGCGCGAAAGTTATTGTGAAGTGTCTTTTAATCACGTAATATTTCTGTATTGTTAGCAGTACAATCAGTAGGGGCGAAGATCAGTAAGACAGCATATTTAGAATGCAAATATCAACTTCACCTTATATATTTTCTGTGAACAATAACTGATATTTCTTCTGATTCTAAAGTTTAATACCTAAGACACTATTGTCACTATGAAGCATGTTTCATCAGAAACATCATATACAGAGAATACTTGAGTTCAGAACTAAAATTAACTTACTTTATTCTAAGTTCAAACATTTCCCAAATACATCTGATAAGACAGGATAATTGCTTTTAAAACGGTTTTTTGAAAAGACAGGATGATTGCTTTTAAAACGGTTTCTGATAAGACAGGATAATTGCTTTTAAAACGGTTTCTGATAAGACAGGATAATTGCTTTTAAAACGGTTTCTGATTAGACAGGATAATTGCTTTTAAAACGGTTTCTGAGAAGACAGGATAATTGCTTTTAAAACGGTTTCTGATTAGACAGGATAATTGCTTTTAAAACGGTTTCTGATAAGACAGGATAATTACTTTTAAAACGGTTTCTGATAAGACAGGATAATTGCTTTTAAAACGATTTCTGATAAGACAGGATAATTGCTTTTAAAACGGTTTTTGATTAGACAGGATAATTACTTTTAAAACGGTTTTTGATAAGACAGGATAATTGCTTTTAAAACGGTTTTTGATAAGACAGGATAATTACTTTTAAAACGGTTTTTGATAAGACAGGATAATTACTTTTAAAACGGTTTTTGATAAGACAGGATAATTACTTTTAAAACGGTTTTTGATA